TTTTTTTTAATATATTTAATTTTTATTATGTATTTATTTAATTATTAATTACATGTATATAATATTTGTAAAAAAATAAATATATTAAATAATAAAAAATTAAAATATCACTTTTTAATTATATTTCAGGAATAAATAAAAATAAAATATCTATGTAATATTACAAATATTACTATTTATTTTAATTATACCAATATTTATCTTTAATATTATCTAGTAAAAATTAAATTTACAAAAGTGTAAATATCAGGATATTAAAAGAATCCCTTTAGTTTACTCTATTTGTCTTTATATATACTGTTTTTCACTTTTTATTTTGCTATAATTTGCAGCAAAACAGATAAATATCAGGATATTAAGAGAAACCTTTTAGTTAACCAATATTTGTCTTTACATATACTATTACTTACCTTTTATATTACTATAGTCACTAATATTGGTAGCAAAATAGATACATAATTTTTATATAAATATCAATATCAGGATAATAAAAGATACCCATTATTTAGCCAATATTTATTTTGCATACTCCTGATATTTATCTTTCATACTGCTATAGATCTGCCAAACACGTATAGCAACCAGATATATAATTATCAAATAAAAGATCAATATCGAGATATTAATAGATACCCTTTATTTATCTAATATTTATCTTTTATTTTGTACTAGTATTCATCCTTTATATTACCATAGATCTGCAAATAACTGTAGCAAACCAGGTTAAGTGAAGATACATAAAAGATAAATATCAGGAGATAAGTAGGTACTCTTTATTTAGCTAATAGTTATTTTTTATTTACTAATATTTATCTTTATATTTCCAATATATGCAGCAAAATAGATATATAATTATCAAATAAAAGATCGATATCAGAATATTAATAGATACTCTTTATTTATCTAATATTTATTTTTTATATTATACCGGTATTCATCCTTTATGTTACCATAGATCTGCCAAATAACTGCAGCAAACTAGGTTAAGAGTGGATATATAAAAGGTAGATATCAGGATGATAAAGAGATCCTGTTATATATTCTTTATGTATTTATTGAACCTGTATAAGCTTTACAAAAGCAAAGACTCTAAACAAGATTTGAGAAGAAACAAAATCTAAAATCATATTAACAATTTCAACAGAATAGATAATAGAAATAATATATCAAACAAGTATAATAGATTCACAGACTAGTAACAAAAGTTAGAAGAAGAAGAAAAAGGATTTACTTATAAAGTGAATTTATTAGAAAAAAGGATAGAAACAAGAAGATGCCTAATAAGAAGCTTATAACCAAAAAAAGGAAATAAAAATCCAGAAAATGATAGAAGATAGGAATATCAGATGTAAAATGCTAGATGTGATCAAAAAGAAGTTTGATGAGAGGTTTCAGACATGTGTTTGGAACTTTAGATATGAACTTATAATAGATTGGAAGAAAGAAAATGGTATCACCAATGAAGTCAAAAGAAAAAAAAAAGCAGTTCCAAAAAAAAAGAAATCAGGAAAAAAAGTTGATAAAGAAAATAGGGCTGCAGAAAAAGAAGATCGAAAAAAGCCCAAAAAGAAAAAGAAGAATGAATCCTAAAATTGGTGAAAGAAAATAATCAAAACCTGATCCAACATCGTATCAAGCCAATCTGGTCTTCCTGGACAAATATTACTAAAAATTGGTAATTTTTGACAAGGTCGGCAGCCCCCAGCTAAGAATCGAAAGAACCAAATCCTTAGAAAGTTGAGAATCCAACGTGAAGCAAATTGGCTGCTTAGGCAGGTTGCACCTGGGCTTTAATACCGAGTGAGTTTTTATTAGTACAGGAATATAGTATAGAAGATTTATATTTAGTTTAAATATAAAATTCTGGTACTTCCGATATAAATAATAAAGTCAGGATCGCCAAAAAAAAAAAAAAAAAAAAGATATATAGTAATAATTATAGTAATAATAATAATAATACTAATAATAATAATAATAATAGTAATAATAAATAGCAAAATAATAATGCTGCAAAGATATAGAACATCAAACTATCAAAGAAGAAGTAATAGGTGAAATGTCTTTTATGAAGCAATTAATATACTTCAAAATAAAAATCAAAGATAATAATAATAATATATAGTAATAATAATAAAATAGTAAAATAATAAAAATAATAAGTGTCTGCAAAAAAACTCTCTTCAATGATCACTCGTACCAAACTTATGACTAACAAAAACAGAAACTTGTTAGAGAAAAAAAGAAGAGTTGACTATCAAATAATAGTTTTTATAAAGGTCAAAGCTTTTCTGTATCTGACTAGACTCCTTTGTATATTTAGCAAGCAAGTTAAAAGCATTCTTATACAAGATAACTGGCAGAAGTTGGCATCCTTGTACAAAAATTTTAATAGAAACATAGATTCTGCTAATAAAATAAAAGATAGTTGGGCTAAAGAAGAACAACAAGCAAGTTTTGAACACACTCTCTATTGAAGTTTTAGACTACTTGCAAACCAAAATCCTTTACAATACCCCACTCTTTGCTCTTTACAAAATTTTACCAAAAAGTAGAAAATACGATATACCCCTATCAAAAGATCGATAACAACAATCACTGCTGAAAAAGAAAATACACATATATGCAGTGTTGTTATGAGACATAGATACGGACAGAGAACAGTTCGGTACAAAATGTCCGCAGACATGTCTGTGAAAAATTTTTTTGTCCCAAATATCCATGCTAATTTAGGTTGATCAGCATGTGATTATAAGCCAATAAAATTTATTCAATATGCACATAAGTTAAATTACAATCAAGCAATCTAGTCATTATTATTTCTGTATTTACAACTCAAACCAGAAATGTTAACATATACACTTGGTTTTATATTTAGCTATATGTAGTTTAAACAAGCCTGATCTTTCTTAAAAGTTAGACATATTGAAAATATCCAAAATATATAACACCGATCTAAACCAATTCGTCTGCTAAAATAATGATAAGTATTAAGTTTATTAGAATATTAAGTCAAGCTATATAGTTTATTAAGTTTTTCAAACTCACCAACATATTTATTTTTTAGTAGCTTAAGTATAGTCAACTAATTCACATTAGTCAGTTTTTTTCGAATCTGATCTATTTAAAGTTTTAGATCTTTTTAATTGGCTTCCTCAATATAATTTACTAGTGATGTTTAATTAATGCAATTAATTAAAACAATTAATAGCTATAATCACATCCAGTTTTTAGGAAATTTAGAGCTTTTTGGTATTCAGTATTTTTAGTAAAAGCATTTATATATTATATTTTACTTCATATTGCTCTTTTTTGTTAAATTCGAATCATATTTTGGCATCAGAAATTAAATCTTCCAAGTGCTGCTAAATGGAAGATTTCTTTAGAAGTAATAAGATATTAAAAGCTTAAACATGGGTTTCAAATTTTGCCAATTTGTATTTAATTTTGAAATTAAAATTTTTTTTTGTTATAGCTTACTTGGTTTGTTCAATTGCTAATTAATTTTTTATCATTTATTTATTGATTAGGTGCCTGCTATTTTGTTAAAGATGATTAGTCACATGGTCTAAAACTATATTAATAACTTTATAATCAAATTTTAAATATATTTATTTATACAATTTCAGATAAAAATAATAATATTAAGCATAATTTATAATAAAAAATAATAATTGAATAACCTATTTATTTTTATTATCAATTATATCCTACTATTTCAATATTATTTTGATAACTATAACTAACTTGTAATTATCATTTGTCCCAATAAATTTGAATAAATAATAATTACTGCCTTGAATTTACGGTCAAATATATATGATTAATTCAAAAAAAATTTTAATGAAATGGAAGTTCTAAAGAACAAAAGAAACCAGACAATTTTTATTTTATATTTTTATCTATAGCTGGGTAAATAATATTATCTAACTCTACATAGTCATCTTGATCTTCAATTTTGTCCACCTCTTCCTCTTCATCTAACATATCTACCTACTCTTGAAGATACTCACCAAATTCTGTTTCAGAAATATAAGGTAAATCACATTCTTCATTATTCTTATTTTTATTATCTTCATCTAAATACATATTTTGTGTTTTATCTGATGAATCAATATTAGTATTACTATGTGTTGTTTGAGTTAAAGTAGTATTATCATATGTCATTTGAGTTGAAGTAGTATTACTATGTGTTTGTATTATAGTAGCATTATTATGCATTGTTTGAGTTGTAGTATTATCATGTGTTGAAGCTGTATTGAAAAAAGTAGAAAAAAGATCATCTGGTTTATGACGATACTGATAAGTTATATCAGCACGTAATTTACTCATATTAAGTACTTTTGGTATTAGAATATATTAAAAAAAAAAAAAATACCACACAAAGAAAAAATCCAAAATTTTTATTAAATAAAAAAAATTCAGGTTTTTTTCTTTGTGATACTCATTTTTAAAATATAAAAAATATTAATAACAGATAAGTTCTGCAAAAATTCATGTAACTATTTCAAATGCTTACTTTTAATTGACTTTGCCGATTGGTTTGAATAAAACCTATACAGCTTCACAATCATTTTACAGAAGCAGCATTTACACAAATACTAAAAATTCTACAAGCTACAAGTTCTAATTCGTCAGTTGCATCTTTGGTATAACTCCAATAAGATAGAATATCATCTTTAAAATACTGATAAGATTTATTATCAAAGGGACAATTTTTCATATGAAAATCATTAAATTCGTGAAGAATACATTTTGGTTCTTGACCTGTCTATGCATGATAATAATAACTTAACTATTTTCCAAAAGTAGGATAATTAATATTAACTACCATAGCTTGAAACTAGTTTATTCGATATTTAGAATGTAAAATTATTGATAATAATAAAATTGGCTATTCCCATTCATTTCAACATCATTCAAGTCTTCTAATTAATTGTGTTGCCAAAAAATTATCAGAATTCGATTCTTAAAATTGTATAAAATAAGCTATACTAAAAGTAACTTCAAACAAATGGGCTTTATCTCATTGAAGCATATTAAGTAACTTGCAATATGAAGTAAGAAGTTTAACCAAATCTTTAATTTGATTCTAAAAATTATTAGATCTAATAATCTCAAAAATTTCACAATAAATATAATTATCTCCTGTATGGTGATGAGTTTTAGAAAAAGGTGGTTTAAATTTTATAGCCAAGATCTAAAATAAATATTAATTAATTTTTAAAAAATAAATATTTTATTTATTAATAATTTAATATATTACTTCTAATGCTTCTTGTGTTCGTAAAAAAGTTGTACACATAAAAAATAAACTGTTCCATCTAGTTTCACAGGGAGCAGAAATTGCATAAGTTTTACAATAAATTTCAAACTGCTAATTGTATAATTGACCAATAAAAAATTGGTTATTAGCATTTCGAAAATAACTAGCAAGTTTAATTCCTTGATCAATAGTTTTTTTGGATCTTCTTTAGTATAGGTAGACATATATAAATTATTACAAAATTATAATATATAAAACCTATCTAATTTGAACCAAATTATATTCTAATCCTAACCCTAACCTTAACAATTTGTAAAATTACTTAAATTAATTCAAAATAGTTAATTTATATATATTATAATTGTATAATAATTATATATACCCACCTATACTAAAGATCAACTATTTTTTTAGTGATAATGACTCTTTGAAAATTTCGTCTACACATAAATTCAATTGGTGAGTAAAATATAGCAAAAAAATTGCAAGCAAGAAATCTGTGCCAGGTTATGTCGATCATTTGGCTGGCGGCATATTTGTGTTACCGGTACATGCATATTCGTGTAACAATATAACTCGTAGCTGATTATTAGGATATACTCGCACTTAAAATTGTATTTGTG